TCCATTTTCTGAATATTCTCAACTGAATATTCGAAAACTGATAAGTATATTTATGGCGAAAATGTCTTGTCGCCCTTTCCCCATATCATTATGAGTTATTTCAGAAACGAAAAGTCGTATGTTTCCTTCATTTAATGCCCAAGACACGTATTTCATTGTAATTGGCTCTATAATTTGCAGCGTCTTTTTAGGGCTTCTGCGGCTGTGTCAATTAAAGTGACAAGTTTATGAAGATGGTTCAAAATGACGCCTTTTTCCAGTAAATATTGCATCACACATTCTCCAAAATTTCTTCTACTCTCTTTTATTCCATTCCAAGCTTTCTCTATAATTCTTCATGCTTCTGCTATTAACCAACAATGGCATCACGATCCTCAAATCCCTCTTCATCGTCGGATCCCCGAAAAACTATCATAGTACATGAACTTCCTCCTTCTACAGCTCCAGTCGGGAATAGAAATAGAGGTGGAAGGCTTCATAGCCTAGGCTCCATATCGAGCTGAAGTACCACTTCTTCTTCTTCTTCTTCTTCTTCTTCTTCTCAGAAGACTTCTTCAAAACCTTCTTCTTCTTCTTCCAAAACTAAATCCCCATCCACTCCTATATCTTCTTCTAAAGTCAGAGATCATAATGAACCATTACCTAAACCCGTAATTTCTGATATCGTTCCTTAGGAATTTTCTTTCAAATCGGATTGTGAAGCATGGAAGAAAGTAGTTTTTTCCATAGCAGCACTTAAACCTACTGATCACTATCCTTCTTTAATCAGCTCTGGTCTTCTTTCTTTAGTACTTCGTGAATGTTACTGAACCCTGACTTTCCTATTATAGCTCCTAGTGCTGACGATCGAATAATCTCTTATCATGAAAGTTATTCATTCGTCTACACTTATCTATTCATGTTAGGATTCAAGCCTCCTATAGATCTAGTGATCATTGAGTTCTACCATTACTTCAATGTTTGTCTTCGCCAAAGCGGCCTGATAATGTGGAGTGTAGTAGCTTGCCTTTTCCACTTATCAAGTTTAGTTTCAACCCCTTTCTCTTTTCGTCATCTCCTCCATATGTATTCCCCGAAGCTTTTCCATGAAGGTGTTTTTACACTTGCAGTAAGAAGCAAAAGGGTCTTGGTCAGTCTTGAATATGACCGTGATCGAGGCTGGTATGCTCAATTTATAGTTGTTCCTACTCGTACCTTAGTGGGAAATAGAAACATGCATTTTCCTGAGAAGTGAAAATTTGCACGTGAGTATTTTCCTTTGCCTCTTTATACGTCATTTTCTCTTTAGCATACTGACTTTCTCTTCCATATTTTCTTTTTTTTTCAACAATTATAGAAGTTTTCGGTGATCTTCCGACTTTCATGATTGGGTAGAAAATTATTGTGTTTCGCTCTTATAGAGCAAAGATCCTAGAAGTTTTTTCCCCAAAAGTTTGGGTGGAAAGTAAAAATCCACGGTATATTACTTTACTTTAGAGTGAATTTTTCTCTTTACACTTCTTATTTTTACAACCTTTGTTATTTTCAGGATTTTCTATCCGTGGAGTCCGTCCTGCTTCCACTCCTATAGCTACACACTGCCGACATTACTTAGGAGCATATTTTAAGTGTGCTCTCTTCAAAAAGGAAAAACAAAGAATCATGTGCCTCTGACGAGGAGGAAGAAGATAAAGGCTCCCTTGTGAAGAAGCCACGAGTCAGAAGGCGCCTTGTCTTAGATGATGAATCCAACACTCCTCAGAACCAACCTTTAGACTCCATGCCTTTCCACCTAGCTAATGAGCCTGAAAATCTCCCTCTAGCTATTTCAGAGGATGAGAATGTTGGTCCTACCTTCAATCTCCCCTCAAGTCCTACTGAAAGGCTTTTTGCTCAAGGATTTGAAAGCAAAGAAGAGGAGTTTGGCTTTGTTTCTGAAGAGCCACCTCTTGCAACCCTTCCTATGAGTCCCGTTGCTCTTTCCACTGCTCCTGCTACTACTCCTACTACTACTCCTGCTGCCATTCCTGTTATAGTTCCTCGTGATGAGGTTGACCCTTGCAGTGGGAGAAGTATGAAACAATTCATTATTGAAGTCCCCAAGGGTATGAATTTATTGAAGAAACCAAACCGTTCCACGATTTCTTTGAAGCCATTAATTGGCCCTCTTGAAAGAGAGACACTTAAATGCCACTCCTCCATCACTCTGATGAATGATGCTATTTATTCTACTCTTAAATTATATTCTTCTTCTCTTACCTCCTTCACTTACCTTTTCTTTAAGTTTCTAACACTTTCCCATTGCTTCTTCATAGATCAATTTAACAGACACAGAGCTGATGAGGAGAATTGCTTGGACTAAGTAGCAAGTCTGGAGTTGAACACGGAGGCTGACAACTGGAAGGAGCAATTTGAAAGTCTTCAACTAGAGAAGGATGTTTTGACTGGTGAGAAGAAAACCTTGGACCAACGACTTAAAATCACCACTGTTGAACCTTTAAAGGTGTCTTATGAGGCTGACAAAGAAGACTTGAGGGCTAGAGTGGAACAATTGGAGAAAGATTACGAGGCTCTCGAAGATAAACTAACTCTTGCTGTTAGTTGGGCCTTCTTGAACACGCGTCTTGAAACTTTGAATGAGGTTAGCCAGGAAGGCTTTGACCTCGAGGCTGAGATTACCTAAGCTAAGGATGCAATCGAAAGTACATAGCAACGTCAAAGTTTCTCAACACCCGAGGATGACAGTTCCCAAGGTATATTACTTTACTTTAGAGTGAATTTTTCTCTTTACACTTCTTATTTTGACAACCTTTGTTATTTTCAGGATTTTCTATCCGTGGAGTCCGTCCTGCTTCCACTCCTGTAGCTAGACACACTGTCGACATTACTAAGGAGCATATTTTAAGTGTGTTCTCTTCAAAAAGGAAAAACAAAGAATCATGTGCCTCTGACGAGGAGGAAGAAGATAAAGGCTCCCTTGTGAAGAAGCCACGAGTCAGAAGGCGCCTTGTCTTAGATGATGAATCCAACACTCCTTAGAACCAACCTTTAGACTCCATGCCTTTCCACCTAGCTGATGAGCCTGAAAATCTCCCTCTAGCTATTTCAGAGGATGAGAATGTTGGTCCTACCTTCAATCTCCCCTCAAGTCCTACTGAAAGGCTTTTTGCTCAAGGATTTGAAAGCAAAGAAGAGGAGTTTGGCTTTGTTTCTGAAGAGCCACCTCTTGCAACCCTTCCTATGAGTCCCGTTGCTCTTTCCACTGCTCCTGCTACTACTCCTACTACTACTCCTGCTGCCATTCCTGTTATAGTTCCTCGTGATGAGGTTGACCCTTGCAGTGGGAGAAGTATGAAACAATTCATTATTGAAGTCCCCAAGGGTATGAATTTATTGAAGAAACCAAACCGTTCCACGATTTCTTTGAAGCCATTAATTGGCCCTCTTGAAAGAGAGACACTTAAATGCCACTCCTCCATCACTCTGATGAATGATGCTATTTATTCTACTCTTAAATTATATTCTTCTTCTCTTACCTCCTTCACTTACCTTTTCTTTAAGTTTCTAACACTTTCCCATTGCTTCTTCATAGATCAATTTAACAGACACAGAGCTGATGAGGAGAATTGCTTGGACTAAGTAGCAAGTCTGGAGTTGAACACGGAGGCTGACAACTGGAAGGAGCAATTTGAAAGTCTTCAACTAGAGAAGGATGTTTTGACTGGTGAGAAGAAAACCTTGGACCAACGACTTAAAATCACCACTGTTGAACCTTTAAAGGTGTCTTATGAGGCTGACAAAGAAGACTTGAGGGCTAGAGTGGAACAATTGGAGAAAGATTACGAGGCTCTCGAAGATAAACTAACTCTTGCTGTTAGTTGGGCCTTCTTGAACACGCGTCTTGAAACTTTGAATGAGGTTAGCCAGGAAGGCTTTGACCTCGAGGCTGAGATTACCTAAGCTAAGGATGCAATCGAAAGTACATAGCAACGTCAAAGTTTCTCAACACCCGAGGATGACAGTTCCCAAGGTGAATTGAGCAAAGGCGGTTAAGAGGCTGATCATGCTAATCCTCAGCCTTCGTCTTCTCCTCGAGTTGATCATTCTGCTCCTTTTGAAGATGATTCTTCTACAGATTCTCCCTAGTTTTTATTTCTTTTAATGGTTTTGGATATCACTCAAATGCTTTTTGGATATTTTTTAAGTTGCTCCTAGGAAACTTCTTTTTTGAATATCAACCTCAATGTTAACCTTCAACATATCTTATATATGTTTTTGCTCTTTAACTTTTGAGCTTTTTCCTGAATTATCCAAGTAGAATGAATGCTTTAATATGCCATGATTAAATACAAATGGTCTTATTTATATATGAGCGCCCTTTTACATAAACAACACTAATGAAAATGACGTATCATCTTCATATTGGTGTATAAATATGAAATATGAAGTAATTTGAAGAAGTTTTATTTGAACTTTCAAAACAAATATTCATGTACATCATTTTTATAACTGCTTAGCAGGTTTATAAGTACAGGTATAATTATCCCGTGATATTTATAGCATTAACCTAACAACTATTGAGAGTTTTTTGTTGAACTATGTTTTTGTGGTGTACTTCTTCCATATGCATAGTCCCCCAGTGCTTGAACTTTGAAGTATGAAAACTTGAACACTGGACCAACTCCTTTCTGCGATCATTTCCATTAAAAAGGAAATACATTCGGGACTTGGAGGTAACTTTTTAGATGATGACTGCTTAATCCTTTCCATCAGAATTGTTGTAACCTAGACCGAGAATAATTAAGTATTCCACGTGTCTTTTGGGTCTAATATCATCATTTGGTACGGGCTAGCTATTTGCCTATCATTTAAAATGGTTAATAAAATTTAAATGAATAAATAAGAAATGAATTTTGAGATATATGTTAGTAAAATTTAAATGAACAAATAAGAAATGAACTTTAAGATACCTGGCCATGGATTCTTGCTCAAAAGTAGTATTTCTTCGAGTGTACCGCATTCTAATTGGAAGGTAACATTTTTCCATCCATGGTGTCCAACTCATACGCTCCTTTTCCAGTAATGTCTTTAACTCGATATGGACTTTCCCAATTCGGACTCAATTTTCCCACATTTGCCGCATGTGTTGATCGAAGCACCTTCTTAAGGACAAAGTCCCAAATCTTAAAGTATCGAAGATTTGTACTTCTATTGTAATAGCGCTCATTCCTTTGCTTTTGCATTGCCATCCATATCAAGACTATTTCCCTTCGTTCCTCTATCAAATCTAAATTTGTACGAAATTCTTCCTCATCCGATGCTTCATTTGCATGCTTGAACCTCGTGCTTGGCTCCCCTATATCCTCTGGAATAAATGCCTCGGTACCATAAACAAGCAAAAATGGAGTTTCTACCGTGCTAATTTTTGTCGTTGTCCTATAGGCCCATAATACCCTAGGCAGCACTTCCGGCCAGTTGCCTTTTGATTCTTCTAACTATTTTTTATATTATTGACAATAACTTCATTTGTCGACTCTGCTTGTCCATTAGCTACGGGATGATATGGTGCCGAAGTAATTTATTTAGTTTTCTAACTTTTGAGAAAATCAGTAAACTTTCCTCCCCCAAATCGATATACTATATTCCTCTAAATGAAGTCGTCAACCTCATTCTCTCGTACCTGTTTAAAGGCATCTGCTTTCACCCACTTAGAAAAATAATCAGTTAAGATTAGTAAAACCGTATCTTTCCTAGTGTTTGAGGCAGAGGATCTACCATATTCATTCCTTATTTCATAAATAACCACGGTGCGATAATTGAATATAGCAAATCTGCCCGTTGATGCATATTATTTTCATACTGTTGGCATTTATTGCACCTTTTCACGAAGTTTTTTGCCTAGTCTTTCATTTTTAGCCAATAATACCCTACTCTTATTAGCTTTTTTACTAGTGACCCTTTACCAGCATCATTTCCACAATATCCTTCATGCACCTCTCGCACCACGTATTCAGTTTGTGAGGGTCCGAGGCACCGAGCTAAAGCTCCTCCAAATATCTTGAGGTACAAATTGCCTTCTACTAAACAATATCGAGCTACTTTTATTTACAACAATTGGGACTGCTTCTTATCCTCAGGTAAAATTCCATATTGTAGATAATTCACAAATTCATTTCTCCAATCCCAAGTTAGCTAGATTGTTGAAATTTACCTCATTCTTTTATTTGATCAAGCGCTGAGTGAAATAATTGCACCACCATTGCATTTTTCGTGTTTGACACATCAGCTACTACTCCCAGGTTTGTTAATGCATCAGCTTCCATGTTCTCTTCTCTTGGTATTTGAACAACTTTCCATACTTGAAACTGGCGCAGTAGTTCTCGCACCTTTTCCAAATACTATTGCATTCATGTCTCTTTAGCAACGTGATTTCCTTGCATTTGACTTACCATAAGTTGTGAGTCGCTTTTGATTTCAACTTGTTCAATCCCCACCTCTTCTGCAAGTTCCAAACCTGCAATTACTGCCTCATATTCGGCTTCATTATTAGTTATCGAATAATATTTTATTGTTTGCCTAATAATTTTCCCCAGAGATGAAATTAAATAATACCCAAACCTGCTCCTTTTACGTTCGAGGATACATCTGTATTTAATGTCCAAGTCCCTGGATTAGATTCGATAAATATTCGTACCTCATTTTTAGCTTTAGCGAGTAAGCTTGAGCTGAAATCTGCTAATACCTATGACTTTATAGCAGTTCTAGGCTAATAAACAATATCATATTCACTAAGTTTTGTCGCCCATTTAGCTAATCTTCTAGATAATCTATGTTTATGTAAAATATTCCTTAACATGAAAGCAGTTATGACAGAAATAGGATGACACTGAATATAGGGTCGTAACTTTCTTGAAGCCATTATTAATGCTAATGCTAGTTTTTCTAGATGAGGATACCGTGTCTCAGTATATAATGGTGATTTACTAACATAGTAAATTGGATATTGCGTATAATTTTATTCTCACACCAATACCGCACTTACCACTACTTCTTATATGGCTACATAAATGAGCAATCTCTCTCCATCACTGGGCTTCGATAATAGAGGCAGTTTTGATATATATGCTTTCAAATCCTTCAAAGCTTGTTGACAGTCATTAGTCCATTCGAATTGATTTTGTTTTTTCAATAACAAAAAGAAAATGAAACACTTCTCTGAGGATCTAGATATGAATCTCTCCAGAGTCGCGACTCTCCCTGTCAAACTTTGTACTTCCTTCTTACTCATGAGTTCATCTGATATTTCTTCGATCGCTTTTATTTGAGCCGGATTCACTTCAATCCCCCTGTTAGAAATAAGTAAACCTAAAAATTTACCTGAGGCTGCACCAAAGGCATATTTCTCCGGGTTCAGCTTCATGTTGTACATGCAAAGTATTTCAAAATTTTCATTCAAATGTGTGAGATGATCCCTTGCTTGTGTTGACTTCAAGAATATATCATCGGTGTAGACTTCCATGGTTTCCCCAAATGTTCTTGGAATATTTTTGTTAGCAATCTCTGATATGTAGCTCCAGCAATCTTCAAACCAAAAGGCATAACTTTGTATCGATAAGTCCCCCCTATCTGTAATGAAAGAAGTTTTTTCCTCATCTAGGGGATCTGTTTTTATTTGACTATATCCAAAGTATGCATCCAAAAAATTTAGAAGTTCATGACCAGTGGTGAAATCAATTAGTTGATCTATATGCGGTAAGAGGAATGAATCTTTAGGACATGCTTTATTTAGCTTAGTATAATCTACACACACTCGTCATTTTTCATTTTACTTTGGTAGTAAAACAGTATTAGCTAGCATTAAGGGTACTTTACCTCTCGAATTGAATCGATTTTCAGAAGTTTTTGCACTTCCTCTTGAATTACCTGATTTTTGAATGCTCCTTACTTTTGCTTCTTTTGTTTCACTGGGGGATGTAATGGAACTTCATTTAATTTGTGAGCCATTGCCTCCGGTGGGATACCGATCATATCTGAGTGTGACCAGGCAAAACAATCAACGTTAGTGCGTAAAAAAACACAAATAACTTACTTTTCAGTTCTGTGCTTAAGTTTGTTCCAATATAGACTATTCTGTTAGGCCAATGTTCGAATAGTTCAACAGCTTCAAGCTCTTCCGTAGTTGTTTTAATAGTTTCATTCTCTTTCGGCTCTTGGATCACATCGGGCCTCACATTTATATCCACTTCACTCTTTGAATTTTTAGTTGAGGTAGAAAGTAAATTCTCCTTAATTGAATTCAGTAATTGCTATTTTTCATCTCCGTCTATGGGTGCTCCACTTGCCGTCACAACTGCGTTGATTTCTCGCACCGCCTGTTGATCTCCCTTGATCTGACGAATTTCATATTACGGTGAAAATTTGATTACCTAATGCAATGTTGATGGCACCACATCCATATCATGATTTTACAGCCTTTCTAAAATTATATTGTAAACCATGTCTGCATCCACTACTTGAAACTTGGTATCTTTGATGACACCCTTCGGGAACGTTGCTAACATAATTTCTCCTTTTATTTCAACACTTAAATTATCAAACCCAGATAAAGATCGAGCCTTGGGTATGATAGGATCAGTTGTTTGGATCTCAGTCACCACTTTTAACATTATGATATTTACAGAGCTGATGGATCAATCAAAACTCGCTTGACATTAGAATCATGAACAATTAAAGATATTACCAAAGCATCATTATGAGGGATGATCAAGCCATTCGTATCCTTATCGTCAAATGTTATGCTTTCTCTTTCCAGGACTTGATGAACCCACTTCCCGTGGGTAATTGAGATCTTGGATGTCCTTTTTGTTGCAGTGTTTGTCACTCCATTGACCTTCTTATCCCCAATTATAACATTCACCGTCCTCTTTGTCGATGAGGGTTTTGATAGTTCTTGTCTATTTTTCGTATAAGACTGCTTTCCTTTCTCACTAAATAGGTCAGTGAGATAACCTTTTTCAGTAATAGTCAACCTCTACTTGTAAGAGCCTGTAATCGGCTGTTCTGTGACCATGATCATCATGGAATTCACACCAAAATTCCTAGTTTGTTTTGCTAGGATCAGTTCTCATCTCTTTCGACCATCGTACCTTATTACTCATACCTCTTATCATAGCTACCAACTCAGACGTACTAATGCTGAAATTATAATCTCCTATTTTTTATCAAGAATTTTGATCACTGCTCCTTGTTGTATCCCGTTCTTTTTCGAATCGGGAAGAAGAACTTGCCTCCTTTTGTCTTAATCTTTGATCAAACCATGCTTGTTCTTGTTTTGATCTAGGATTTTGTCTCGTGGGTCCCATGCAAGATTAATACCTATTTTTTCCAGATCTCTTTTCTGATTCTGAACGTCTAAGTCCGAACCTTTTCCTCCACCTTCGGCTGAGACACTATATCTTCTTATATTCGCAACTTTGTATTGTACATATTATAAACATCATGCCAAGTTGTAGCAGGAAATTCCCACATGCTTTCTTTCAATCTTTTCGTGGCTTCTGAACTTTTCTTATTCAAATTGCTAGTAAATGTCATAGCTGTCCAATTATTAGGTATACACGGTAACATCATTCTCTCCCGCTGGAATAGATCCATGAATTCTGTGAGCAAGTTTGTACTCTTTTTGTTTTTTTTTTACTTTGAAGATATCTTCCATTCTATTTTCTACCTTTTAAGCTCCCGAATGCGCTTTTGCAAATGAATCTGCAAACTTGGGAAAAGAATATTTCTAATTTTCATGTAAAAGTGAATGCTATGTTAATGCTCCTTTTGTAAGGGTTTCGCCAAATTTCTTCATCAATACTGATTCGTTTTCTTGCATGGTTAAATTGTTACCCTTGAATCTTGTAGTAAATACAGTAACATGATCTCACGGGTCAGTAGTCCCGTCATTTTTAGGAATATTGGTCATCTTGAACTTTTTAGGTATTGGTAACAGTGTTGCACTTGGTTTCCAAGGCTATAGTGAATACTTGTCAATATCCACTCCTTTAATCATGGGCGGTACCCCGCTATCTGCTCTATCCATTCGTTTTATTCCTTTGGCTATTTCTGCAAGGTCAGTACTAAATTATACAACTTAGAATCATATGGCGTACTTGACCCTCTGGCTCCAAAATTATTTGGTATTTCCCCACTTTCAGACTTTTCAAGCCCTGAATGAGGGTTTTCCATAGTTCTGTTCACTGGTGGTGGAGCTTGTATAACACTTGGCAACCCACTTGCAAAAGCACGCAAGGCTTCACCAATCTATTGAGCAATAAACTGCTTCAAATTATCTTGCTCATTTGACTGTTTGTCAATCTGTTGTCCAGCGTTACGATTAGCAGATCTGTCAGGTGAATTTTCTCATGAATGCGGTGGAGTAGTTGTGGGTGTGTGGTATGGAGGAGTTCCTCCTTGTTGTCTTCCTTGTTCTCCATCACTCACCTGAAATATTTTATTAGTAGTAGATATAATTCGTTGCTAAAGGAAAAATATGAAAAGTGAAAAGATTACTAGATTTTCTGATAAAGGAATCAATTTGTTTAATTAACCAAAAAATAGTTTTTGTGGTTAAAGCAAATAATAGAATAATTCGGGTTTCTAATAACCAATTTTACTTCACTTTTCTCTAATTTAGTCAAACGTAGAAATAAAGAAAATAAAATATTGAGAGAATAAGGAAAAAGGAATCTTATTGATGATCGCAGCTTCTTCCTAGAACAAGATCTTCAAATAGCAGAAAGTAAAATGTAAGCGACTGACAATATTATTTCAGGAATTCTGTGATGATCTTATAAAATATGGTAAGGTGTGTTTATACGAGGGTAGAATACGTAACTGCTTTCCCCTAATTAATTCGCGTCTGTTACTAATATTTATTACATTAATTGCTCGTTACTTGGGTAATTTGTAACGTCTATGGTAATAATAAACAATCGCACATAATGAGGGATTATATTGATTTTTTTCATATTCATGGCTATTAATGAATCTTCCTTCCTTATAGTCTTCGATTGCGCGTATCTCTTCTTTCTCAGTTCTCAGATACGGTTTCTTTGTAACAACCCCAACCCCGTGGGTGTTTTTCTATGCTTTTATTCTAACTTTCGTTCTTCTTTATTGTTCTAACTCTTGTGTCGCATGTCAGCATATCATTAATCTACGTGTCGAGTCTATTTTTCCACCAAAACACTCACAACTTTCAATAATTCAAGTTCATTTACCTTTCCAAAGTTGAAACTTATAAAATGAATTTTTTTTTATTAAGTCATCAATCATTTCTTTCATTTTTTATTACTGCTTCCACATAAACATCTAATACTCTGCATTAATTAAACGATCAATAAAATGTGGCCAGGGAGTATTATTTTCAATTAGATCTTCTGAAGGGATAGAAAATCCAACTCGAAATGCATAACAATGTCCGGTATGCAGCTTCTTGTATATCAAGTTACAATTTTATAGCGAAGTGCTTTATATGATTCAGAATATGATAAAGATGCAAATTTGGCTTCTCAGTAATTCCAAAAGGAAACAGAAAAGGATTCTGGAATAATTCACACCCAAACAAAAAAAGGAGAAGAAAATGGGAAGAAATAAATATGACGTGGCAAATAAAACACGTTTACAACCTTAAGATCAGAGATTTATTTGGGTCTTTTACCTCGTTGTTTGTCTTTTATATGAAAGGAGACCACGTTTGTGCCATAGGGAACTTCAGATATGTCTACATTCAATGTATTTGTGCTATCAGCTACAAGAACATGCATGCATGCCTACCACTTGCTTTGGGCCGCTCCTACTAATATTCCGAATTCGCGCATGAAAATCTCACGTTATTTGAGTTCAAATTCAATACTTATTATCAACGAAAAAACGGTACTTATCATTCTCACATAATCTATTGTGATTTACATTCTTTGATTTCAAATTCGAGACTTAACATTAAAAATAAAGTGGTATTTATTATTCTCACCATAATCTATAGTGGTTCATGATTTTTAATTTAACTAGTCTCTATTTCACCAACACATAACAACACATATATCTCATGATAATTAGTAAAAAATATTATCAAAATTAATAATATTTTAAGTTTTCATCCTATAAAAGTTAATGTAATTAAAGATTTAGAAAAACGAAAAAAATGTAGGTTCTGTTTGGGAATGTTTCTCTTTTATTTTTTTTATTTTTTTTTGAATTTGAAAAATTAGAATAAAAACTTAGGTAACTTCAAAAAGAGATTTATTGGTTTTATTATGTCGCAATGCAAGAAAATAATGAAGTTTTTACTCACTCAATAGTTATTGCATTTCCTTCATTAAACAAGAAAAATAATGAAATTTTTAATTAATTAAAAAGGTCAAACATGAAACAACGGATCAAAGGAACTAATGGAAGAGCCAGGTTAATTCTTCGTGATTGATTTCAGTAGGCCAATTGAAAAGGTTGAGGTGTCCCAATTGGTCTAGCTAGTCTCAGTCTATGTTTTCCTCTTTAACGAGCCTTAGACGACGCGAATCCCAATTAATCGTGACTTAAAACGGCTACCAAACATCCAGTAAGAAAATAATAGCAAGTAGCAAATAATCAACCTTCAGGAAATTAAAAATGTGGTCTACACTACAAGAAGCATATTTCAAATAACTGCTTTTATTGAAATAATTATTAGTTGTTGATTGTATCTTGTGACTTATATATTGTGGGTTAGATTCATGGATATTTATCCAAGTTTTAATCTATTGTATCAAACTCATAAAACTCATTCACTTAACGGAATTATAATTCAACTATATCTATATGTCATACTATAACATAAAATAAAGAATGCGATAAATGTTAAGTTTGGTCCTGAAACACAAGCAGACTACTACTTCATCAACTCACCCTTCATATTGATGTGAGATACTTAAAAAGGATTTAAAAGCCCTTTTTTTTATCCTCGTAAAAAAAATAAAAAAACTTAATGATCACGTGCCACATGCTGCGGTTATCAGGTGAAGTTGCAAAAACAGATTTTTTTGTTTTTTTATGTAATGCCAAAGTAAATTTTTGTTGACGTGGCTGTAATTACATAGCAATTCTACACATGTTGTAGCCTATTTGTGTTTTTTTTAAGGCCAAATTTTAGCATTTTCAGATGGTCTATAAAAATAGTAGGGTTATTTTTTCGCTGCAAAAATTAATTTTATGACTTTAACTTGGTACAATAAACTACAAGTTGAATGATCATCTATGAAATTAACTCGTTATCTTAGCACTAAATATGAGTTCAAGACAGATCGATGAGATAGTATAGCTTGGAGACAAGAGCCATGGTACATGGTCTGTATGGCGGTTGAACATGCACGGTTTCATCAGATTGCTATTGGAAGAACCCTTTCAGCACCATTCTAATTCATGTGCCTGTTTGTAATACAAGTCATTTGCCCTGAACTGCTCTCATAATATTTCTTTACCTTTTCTTCATTGGAATTTGGCACTACAGCAAGAAACCAAAACACCCTCCTCACATAGACATCTAATTTCTTATTTTTGTAAAATAAAAGTGATGTTTGACCAGCTTGGATGCACCTCAACTATTTGTAGGTACCTTGTCACATCAATACTAGGTAACTTTGCCTACAAAAGTTTTAGGCAGATGGAAAGAAATTACCTTGTGTTTATTGTCTCGCTGCTAGGCCACACCCTTGGGGCACATGATCATCCATCTATCATCAAGGGTAAAGGATTCATCTGTTAGTTGGAGGGTCCAAGGCATTGACTTTGTTTGTGTCACATTCTGCTTGTTGCAGACTAATAGGTGGAGTAAACAAACGTAAGTAGGAAATCGAATTTCATGTTCTAGAGTTTATAATTTTCAACAATTTTTCTTTCTAGTTGTTCAAAGCATCTCAACTCGTGGGTTATAACGTATACTAGCATCAAGCTTAATTAAACTTTGCAAGTTCAAAGAACTTATGGACTTCTATCTGAGTAGCAATTTTTTCATCATCGTCCTTTTGTTCCCTTAACTGATTCAAGGAGAGAAAAACCAAAAGATCATCAGAGAAATCGTCAGCCAATATTCCAACATACAAATGGTACTTAAAGACAAACTTTTAAGCTACAAAGTCGTCACTAACATACTCAGAGAATGGGAAAATGAATCTTTGACCTCAAATTTACAATGTGCGACGACGATTCAGTAAACATCGTTGCAATGAGTAACATTATCTCTCCCTATGTCACCACATAATTGTCGTGGCCTTGTTCACCTTTAAATTTCTATAATTCAGATTGATACAAACCAATGAAAAATGATATCAGAAAAAAACACATTCCTGTGACAAGCCAGCTAGAAAATAACTAGTGATAGAGTCTGAAAACAAATACGGGGCTTTTGAAGTCGATGAAGTTCTTATCTTCATCCAGTGACTCTATGTATATGTCTTCTCGGGGTTCTTCATTCACTCCGCTCTGTGTGGCATACTCCAAGGCCATTTCATAGTCCACCTGCAAAACAAAATAGTCAAACGACATAGTAGTTCGTTGTTACAGACCCTTTCTTGTGGGTTTTCCAGAAAAAAGATTAGCAATATTGGCTGGCTCTATGGAATCATCTCAGTTTTCCAACTTTACAGCTGGGAAAATACTTAATCGCACCCGGTGTTTACACCACATTCACAAATTAAGTGAGAATACATATTGTGATGACCCAAAATGTCATCTTGGAATTAAATAATTATCTCGGTATTTTAAGACCTTGAAAAGCGCTATCAATAATTCCTCGACTTGCGTGTGCAGTCCGTATAATTTTCTGGAAGGCTTTTATGTGAAAAGATGGATTAAAATATGAATTAGAGCTTTAAAACTCAATTGAGTTGACTTCGGTCAATATTTTGAGCAAACGAACCTGGATCCGAGTTTTGACCATTCTAGTAGTTTCTTATCGTGATTTGGGACTTGGTCATATCCCCCGAAATCGAATTCAGAGTTCCCTAGATCAAACTATCGTCATTTAACGGAATCTAGAAATCTAAGGCTAAAGATTTCTTAAGTTTGACCGGAGATTTGACTTTTTGATATCGGGGTCGAAATCCAGTTCTGAAAATTTTTATAGCTTCGTTATGTCATTTATGACTTGTGTGCAAAATTTGAAATCAATCGGATTTGATTTGATAGGTTTTTGCATCGAATATAGAAGTTGGACGTTCCTAGTTTCATTAGGCTTGAATTGGGGTGTGATTCGCGATTTTAGCGTTATTTGATGTGATTTGAGGTTTCGACTAAGTTCGTATGATGTTTTAGGACTGGTTGATGCATTTTTGTCGAGGTCCCGAGGGCCTCGGGTGGATTTCGGAAGGTTAACGGATATAAAAGGCTGCTGAAATTTTCTGGGCAGTTTTTGCATTTTTCGCACGTGTGAACAGTGACTGCACCTGCGTGAACAGTATCCGTGTACAGTAACCATGAACAGTATCCACGGAAATTCTGGACAAAATGTTGAGTTCTGAAAATGGGACCAAATTGGAGCTAGGGAGAGGCGATTTTCGGGAGATTTTTAGAGAAAACAACGGGGTAAATGTTCTTAACTTAATTTTGGTTAGATTACCTAAGCTATTACTAGTTTTGGCATTAAATCTGTGAATTTAGTTGGAAAAGTTGGAAAACCCTCTCGGATAGATTTGAGGATCGAAATGTTATCGAAATTTAGTAATTTTGGTATGGTTAGACTCGTGATTGGATGGGGGTTCATATTCCATAATTGTAATTGGATGGGGGTTCATATTCCATAATTTTTGTCGGGTTCCGAGACATGGGCCCCACGGGCAAATTTTTAGTGCAATTTCGGATTTTTAATGGAAAATGTAGAATTTCATGTGGAATTAATTCCTATAATTTTTATTGACTGAATCGAATTATTGTGGCTAGATTCGAGGCATTTGGAGGTCGATTTGAAAGGAAAAGGCATTGCGGAGTAGAATTTTGCTCGAATTGAGGTAAGTAACGGTTATAAATCTGGTCCTGAGGGTATAAAACCCCGGACATTGTGACGTATGACTATTTTGGAAGTGATGCACGTGCTAGGTGACGGGCGTGTGGGCGTGCTACGGGATTGTGACTTGGTCCGTCCCGCGAGACTGTGGAATTAATTGGCCAACTGTTTAATACATGTTTCCTCTGTTTTCATAGAAATTGACTGTACTTCATGTTAGAAATCATGTTTAGGCCTTATGTGATCATTGTTGAGACCTGCGAGGTCGTGTACTTGCTGAATTAGCTGCTAAGTTATTGTTTTGTACTCAGTCATAGCTTTTCTTGCTTATTATGCCTCTGCCTCTTACTGTTCATTGTTGATATATGATATTACTTATGTTTGGGCCGTTTATATGATTTCTGAGAGCCCAAGAGACTGGAGAGATTGATGACTGAGTGAGGCCGAGGGCCTAAATATGAGGTTATTGATACTATAGCACGTGAGTTGTCCGTGCGGATCCAAATATTATATTATAGCGCGTGAGTTGTCCGTGCGGATCCAAATATTATATTATAGCACGTGAGTTGTCCGTGCAGCACGTGAGTTGTCCGTGCAGATCCAGATATTATTATAGCACGTGAGTTATCCGTACAGTTTATAGCGCTTGGGCTGAAGGAGCCCCTCCGAAGTCTGCACACCCCCAGTGAGCGCAGTCGACTACATATATGGATCGGGCTGCACGCCGCAGCGGTTATTATGAGGTACCTGCTGAGTGTGAGTGCTGATTGATGAGAGTTGAGTCATGAGGGACTGAGAGGCTTGCCTGAGGGGCTATATATACATACATACGAGTGACGCTTTGCCCGAGGGGCTTGTTTTGTGAAATTACTGTCTTCACTCATCTTTATACTGAGCCTCTATTGAAAATGTTAAACAAATGTTTTGAACAACTTTCATTCGAACCGGAGTTTTTTTTTAGATGTTTGGAATTAAATTATTGATTTGGTTTTGTTATTTCCACTGAGATTTTTAAGTTATGAGATGAGCTGAGTGACTGTTGCCTTGAGAGGTTGTATTTGTTTTCAGTTAATTGCTACACTTAGTTGCTATTTATCCTTGTCGTACATATTTATGGAATATTTGATATGAGTTATTTGAGTATGCACTGATGAGACTTAAACTATTAAATTGAAAGTATGGCTATTCTTATTGAAAGTTATTGAGATAACTGTATTTGCATAGCTCGTCACTACTTCTCAGTTCCTTATTTATTTCTGTTACTTACTGAGTTGGTGTACTCACGTTACCCCCTGTACCTCGTGTACAGATCTAGACACTTCTGGTCACGGCGGTTGCTGATTGAGGAGTCAGACTCAGGAGACTATTGAGGTAGCTGTATGGTGTTCGCTGACCTTGACTCTCCTTTCCTTTCATGTTGTACTGTTCTATATTTTCAGACAGTATTTTATCAGTCGGATGTTGTTATCATTTAGATGCTCATGCACTCAGTGACACCAGGTTTTGGGGATGGATTGTTTAGTACTTTTGGAGTTATATTCTATTCTAAAAGGTTTTATTTAATATTAACTGCTTCCGCCTTTATTTAAAAGTTCTATTGTGTTGAGATGTTGAGTTGAGGCTTGCCTAGTACCACGATAGGCGCCATCACGACAGGTGAGATTTTGGGTCGTGACACATATCAATTAACTTACTTGCACCCGGTGTTAGATATATGTGTTGCATTCATTCATTTGGTGCAAACAATTGGTGCGGGTAAATTTTTCCTTACAGTGGCAAGCAGGTTTACAACCATTTTCTTTCTCAAATTCATAAGAGGCTAGAAGCATCCAATCAAGTTAATGGTAGCAGTATTTGACCATAATGCGATACAAACTTCTCTGCACTAGAATAACATATACACAGGGATGCTTACCTTTTCAACATGCTGAGCAAGCTTTTCTCTCAATGTATCTTTCGTTATTGAATTAACTGAAACTTGTTTTAGTATGTCTGTTTCGTCATTCCCGTAGCGTTTCCTTTTTGACGCATGCAGATTTGCCATCTCTTTTAGGACGATATATATAGCATTAGTAGAATCAGGGATATACCTGCGTCCAGTAGAAAATTAGCATTGAATTTGACTGATGAAACTCAAACTATTATCAGCCTAAATGATCAAGCTTACTTGCTCAAATTCCGCTTCCTTTCCTGCTGCTCACGAGCCTGAATCCTTTTTACAATCTTTGCTTTGAGCTGATTGCAACACTGCTGAATGGCTGTCTGCAATACTGATTTATTAGCCTATGAAAAAGCCACTCAGCGATTTATGAACCAAGGACAATAGGAGTTACCTTGACAGCAGAAGCTATCTCACTTATGTCATCTCCGATATACTCCTTCCCAGTCCCCTTGAAGGGAATTTTGGTGCTAACGATGCTGACAAAGACACCAATCTTGTCTTGTGTCTGGTTTATCTTGTAACTGTTCCAACTATAAATGACATCTTATTACAGTCTGCAGTTCAATTTGCAGAAATTTTCCCCACCCTCACATAAAAAGGGAAAAACCAACTAAAAGCGACAAAAGAATATGAGAAAGAGAAAAGGAGCCTCGTAGGAAATTATTTCTCCCCTGTTCTAGGGTGGCAAAAAGGGGAGCCCACAGAAGATAACATCTTCTATAGTACTTGCTCACAAGAAATTTAGGAAAAGGAGAAAACATTTTCTATGAGAGAACAAGCAGAGTTTCTTGATTTCTTAGCGAATGAGAATTACGAGCAACTTCGTAGGCTTTAAATGCTTACTTGATTCTCTTCAAAGCAGTCCTGGTAACAACATCAGCACCTTGCTCAAAAAGAAGCGGAATCCGATTAGCAAATCGGAATATATTCAGCCCCTAAAATTTTGGTCAGGCATAGTAAGTGCAACAATATGAGATAAAGAAATTCAGAAGATATAAAAGTTGTAATAATAGGGCTAACACCAACTGATGAATCATGAGGCAATAAGCTAGGAGAAGCAACAAAAGTTCTATGGATCAGAATTTTCTAACACTGACATTTGCTTCTCTTTTCTTCTATTTCTTTTCCATGTCCGTTATTATCAAAAGAAAGGAAACACTGTCATCCAATGAATAGAACTTCAACATCTATTTAGGGGTCGTTTGGTACCAGGGATAAGGATAATAATCCTGGAATAGAATTTGGGATTGTATTTATCCCATGTTTGGTTATAGGTATTAGCTAATCTCGGGATAAATTTTACAGTAAAATAGTGGGATTAGCTATCCCTTATAGAAGGTAGGATAGCTAATTCCATGGGATATCCTTATTTATCCAACCATTGTACCAAACGACCCCTTGTTCGAGAATATGGGAAGACCAGATGATGTCCTCTGCAGGCAAATATTTACTTCTTACAGCTCCTAGAAAGTATATCCTTATCACCAAGTGACCCTCAAGAACCTCACCATGCGGTAACTTCAAGCTCAAAAGCGAAGAAAAAGAATTTGACCATCATATAGTGCTTCCACAATCATTTGATTAGGTTTGTCCAATGAAATCAAATCATAATTCACTACTGAACGAATGCAGATTAAGACACATTCTGATGGGTCCTTTGCTTATAACATTGGTGATACAACATATTGTATAGCCACAATCAGTATCGGGACTAGACGTGCTTCATTCTCTATCTTTTATATACTTTACCATAAGGGAGATTTCTCACTTGTTTAACATCTTTCCCACCAACACTAACTCCAGCTTCCACGATAAATGGATGGCCTTCGAATACTTGAGCACTGGACAGAAGTCGTAGTAACTTTTAATACTTCTATGATTTGTATGATAAAATCAAAGGATTCAAAAGATAAAAGTAGATGAAAAGCTTTATATACTNATAAAAGTAGATGAAGAGCTTTATATACTAACCTTCCAGAAAAGGTAGCAACCATATCTGGATGCAGTTCTTTTATAATACCAAGACGTAGATTATATTCTCCAGCAGGACTTAGAATCTGCAATATGGCTTGTTATTGACATGCAAAAATTAGTACAAAACATATACACAATAAAACTGGGAATCGACATAACATTTATAATTTGGTGTCGCTAAAAGCAAATGGAAAAGAGGCAAGAACTTCAAAAGAGGAACTTACATCACCACTGGGATCATCAAATTTGGCTTGACGAAACAACTGATGGATGCGAACTATTTGCTGTGGTGTTAGAGATTTAACTGGCATTTTAGGGTTAAAATCGGGACCCATCTCCCCTAGAATGTGAAAGAACATCCTTCTTTAGTTATAATGTACAATGACCGAGGGCATTTTATTGTTATGTAAGTGAATGAGTAGTATGCTACAGATATAAGTACATAAGTAACAAGGGATAGAAATGTTCATTATGGAAATTCCAATATCCATGATGAGAGATTGGTGTATCAACAAGTAGTTTTAATGGTAATAAGGTTTTCAAGAGAGCACAAAGCACAAAAACATATTCGAAATGCAACTCTAGCAAGGCAGTGTTCAGCATATCACATTAATTTTTTACTACAGTACCAAAATCAAACTTGAATTTTTACAATGCCACACAACCTAGCAGTAGGAGCATAGTTCTCAGCATATTTCATATTTCACATGCCTAGCCACACTTGCCAGAGGAATTTCCGGACCCAGAATTAGCCTGAACGTAACATTCATGTAATTCACATTCTCTCGTGAAAATCCCAACTTATGTTTCAAATTTGCTTGTCTGATTTTACTGTAGTAGCTTCTAAGGACCTTAATGCTCAAAATAAAACTACATTTGACCTCGTCAATTTCTTTTACTGTTGTGTAATCTGTATTCTTACCTGCCACCAGTCTTCCATTTAAGTTTTTCCTCTCTATGTTATTATTTGTAGGAGACATAATATTAAACTTTTGAGTTTACTGAAAGTGTACTCCCTCTATCAGCTTAAACTTTTGGATGAGTTTGTCACACACTTCAACATGGTATCAGAGGGGACAAAAGTCTCTCACTGCCACTCATTATGAAAAAGAACTCCACATGCTTCACCATGAAAAATAATCATGCCCGCACATGAAGGAGCATGTTGAAGGCATAATATTAAGTAAATAAAAGTATCCTCTTTCAATCAACTTAATCTTTTAGATGAGGCGGTCACACACTTCAACATTATTCAACTATGAAATCTTGCTACTCAATTAATTCAAAAGGAGTCTTTCATAATGAGAAATATGGAAAAATTTACTACTCCCTCAGTTTCATTTTTATTTATATAACCGAAAAGCCGCTCAGGGTCACTTTATATGACAGTGGTTTACTGGACATAGAATTGAAATATTAATTTGACTTTTTAATTATACTAGTGATAGTAAAAACCAAATGAATGAATTTTTTTATTAGGTAAATAAGTAATGATTGGGAAGTTGGGGAAATAAAGATAACATCACATCAAAATTTAAAATTCGAATAGTAAAAAGAATTTGAATTTTTGAAAATTGCAAGAGTTGTAGACAGTAATGTCGGAATTCCATCTTGACATAATAAAGAGTGATGTCCAAAGCGCAGAGAGATCAGAAGTAGGCTATTGGATAGGGCATTCCTGCTTAGCCCAAGGCTTACCTTAATAAAGAAACCATGTCAAACATTTTAGAACGTCTTAAAACAGAAAGAGTATCATATAAATTAAAATGGAAGAGTATTACATTTTGGTTATCATTCTTTAGTTATAGAGGAAAGGATCTATAACTTTTTTGTTGTCGACGAGTAGTGACACCCATTAAGGCAAAAAAAAAAAATTGTTGGTTGTGTTTAAGAAGCTTAGTTTACTGTAAGACTTAAATTTAAAATTTTGAATAACTTAATAAGACCTGGATGAATAGACTACATCTCTTCCCTCAAAGAGGAAACACCATACTATGGTGTTCACTACAAAAAGGTACTAGAAACACTATAAAACCTACATCCATCACAATTTGTTTAATACAATTTTAAATATCCCAAAATATTTGAGACACTTTTTGAGAAGAATATTTTACAATGTTATATTATACGATGTTCGGATTTCTTGAATTTAGCTACATTTAACCATTTAATTTACTCTTTGACGTGATATCTTTCTTTTCAATCTATCTTTGCAACCATATTATAATCCAAATCTCCAATTACTTTTTACAGATCAACTTAATATTTTAAATCTATATCTTGTCAAGCCTGAAGGAAGGAGTATATTGATATCTAAATTTTTTTTAAAAGAAACTTTGCATTGTGATTTAATGAAGCGATGCATTTTTGTGTCCTAGAATTTGAATTTCGATCGACAAATCAAAGATTTCATTCTCAAACTTTTTGCTACAACCAAAGAGAATGAATCTTAACCCAAAAAAAATGTATATGAAATAACCAAAAACATAATGAGATTAGCACTAGAAGTGGCAACCACGGAAAATAGGCTTATCATAAACATTGGAGTTCCATATAAAAGCCAATTATTAAAAATACAATCTCCGTGCATAAAAAGCCAATTGAAATGCAAACTTATCTTCTGTTAGTCTGATAGTAAGGAAAAATTTATATTTTTTCCAACTCTATTAAGTTGGTGAGCAGTAACAACAAACTGTTGTCTGCTAGTGGCTGAATGGAATGCAATCAACAGATGAACTATTTTCCATTGTCAACAATACATAGAGCATGTACGTAATCTTTAGCCAGACACCCTTGACTGCCAACTAATTTTGTTTTATCAAGGGATCTCAAAGAGATGAATGCAATCAGTTTCAAGTTCTCACCGATTAAACGCTCTGCATGACACTTCCCAATGTTTACAAATTCATGCTGAAGGAACTGCAGAAGGGTCTGTTTTGATGTCTCCGTTATAAGCCGTTTGATAAGAAGTATATCCACAGCTGATGGATGGTACTTGGTCTCAAGAGGAACTGGAGGCATTATGTCCGTTCTTCTAGCAAACCTAATTATCACGTTTTTCCTACAATAAATTCAAAATAAAGTGAAACCGAAGAAATTCAGGACATGGTTTATGAACTCAAAGATAGTGGATGTGCTTGTAGCCTTGCACAAACAAATTAATTCAATCAAGGAGGGGGAGAGAGAGAGTACTCTGGAGAATCTGATATGAATTGGAAAAGGAATTGTGCATACGGCGTAATGACGGCCATTTGTCGCATATAATGCAATATTTTGGACTGTAAACGAAGAAAGAAAATATCAGTTTTCAGAAATATAGAAGGTGCATCAGTTGGTTAAGTTGCTTTCACTGCCTGAATGAGGTGAAACTTGGGAGGACATCTGTCACAATGACAATGTAAAAACTACATACTCGGTAGGTTGTCCAGTTCCCTTCAATAACAATCTGGATTTCAGCACCATGCCACCATTCTTTGTTTTCCCGTTTTTCATGTACATGAATGTGAGGAACATTCCTGAAGCAAAGGCGTAATGCAGTGATGTACCACGAAACAAAATTCTATGTTACTATGCATTCTGAAATATAGCTTACTTGTGAATATCAATATCCAGCCTACAGAATGAGGTATAACTTTGGCTCTTCATGGAAGATGTAATCTCAATGGGAAGTCCTGTACTCATCTTGGACCAAATCAATGCCTGTAGAAATGAGAGAAAAGGAAATGAAGGTATATGTTGACATCCATTGAAATCCGTTTCTGGATGAACACAACTAAACTGGAAAAAAGAATTACAGGCT